CCAAGACGGCTCCAAGTGACCAAAGAGCTCCCCCAGGAGGCCCCGAAGAAGCCAACATTCTTCCAAAACCTTAGGAAAATCAGTGTTTTTGGCTTTCTCGCCGAGGCCTCGAGATGGCTCCAAGATGGCCCAAGAGGGCTCCAAGAGCGCTCCCAAGGCTCCCAAGAGCGCTTCAAGAGGGCCCCAAGAGGCGTCCAGGAGGCCCCAGGAGGCCCCAACAGGCGCCCAAGAGGCCTCCAAAAGGCTCCCAAGAGACCCCCAAGAGGCCCCAAGAAGCTCTCCGAGGTACCCAAGACGCTCTAAGAGGCGTCCGGGACCGCCAAAAGGCCCGCAAGACGCTCCAAGAAGCCTCCACTGGGGGACCCTTCCTCTGTGTGCTGCCCGCTTCCCTGATCAAAGCCATTCCTCTGGGCACCGTTTCTGGATGGGCTGGTGGGGATTCGCGAAGCGTCAACAATTTGATTTGATGTGTTCCTCTCCCCGCCCTTGGAGGACTGGTTGTCCGAGATGCTCGTGCACATGGCAAACTGTGCTTCATAGCTTTATGTTGTTCATGTTTATCCGTGGCCTCGCCCTGAGGCAGGAGGGGGTGGCCGCGGGAACCTAATAACCGAAACACATACAAAACACACATACAAAACACACATCTTAAGCAGCTGGCCCTGCACAGAAACAGGAATTATAATAGCTGCAGCTTCCCATTGGGGGGGGGGACCCGCCACTGAAATCATCCTGGCGTAATCCGTCACAAAGAGAATATTTGTGTAATACGTTCAAAGAAAACTGTGAAAACAACCACGAGCGGAATCTTTGTGTAACCCGCCACAACAAGAATTTGCGCATAATCCACCACAGACCTGATACTTGTGCAATCCGCTTCAAAATGAACGACTTGTAATAATCTACCACAAACGGAATCCTGATGTAAGCCGCGGGAATTCCTTCTCCGGATACGCAGCGGAATTCAATCCTTTGACATGGGGAGGGGGGCATGTCATGCTTTCCTTTCTGTTCCTCCCCCCGACCTCCGAGGCGGAGTGCTTCTTCAGATTCGATCATGTGCAAGGCACGTTCTAAACTGTTGGTGTGCTTTGCCGTGTTCCTCCGCACCTCCAACGGGGGGCCGCAGAAGAATCCGTGTGTGACCCATCCGCGCCCCATCCGACTGAAGCCCCGCAAGACTTGTCGCACAGACGCTCGGTCTGCGGACCGTGGAGTTTGGGACGAGAGGCCGCCGCGTGATGGCGGGGGAGCCCTGCCGGGGCCGACGATCCTCGAGACGCGAAGCCGTCCTCGGCAGAGGCTTTCGCCCAAAGCCTGGAACTGATGCCGCCGGCAGCGCAACGCACTCTTCACCAGCTCGAGAAGGTCACCCAGCGGCTTTGGAGAAACAAGGAAGCAGCAGGGGAGGGAAGAGCGAGCACACAGAGGCAGCAGCGCAGCGCACACGCAGGGGGGAGGAAGGCACGCACGAGGCGCCCACGAGCAGGGGGAGGAAAAAAAAAACAGCAGTGCAGCGCGCAAAGAGCCCCGCCCTCCTCCGAGAAGCAGTCCTCGACCGACCTGGGCGTCCGACGGCCCAGCTGCCTCGAGGCACGGGCCCCCCGGAGCTCTCGACCGCACCCCAAGGGGCAGACTCTCCATCCCGAGTCGTGCTACGCTGGCCCTGGGAGCGCAGCCGCACGTCCTGGAGAGGCCCCGCCGGGCGAGACCGCGGCCGTCTGTCTCTGATAGCTGGGCCCGCCGTGCTCCTGGGACGAAGACGGGCAGAAACTGTCGGTGGCACCTCATGGGATGCCTCCCGTACCATCTTGCCGGCTCTTGCGAATCGACACGAGTCGATGCTAACTGGCGGCGCGCGCAAGGGGGTGGAGGCAGGGAGGAGGGCTTCTTAGAAGGAGGCTGCTTCTTGGAAGGCGCAGGCCTTACATCTATAGATAAGGCCCGCGCCTTCTGAGAAGCAGGGGTGCTTCTAAGAAGCCCTCCCACCTCCACCCCCCCTCTGCGCGCGGCTGAGCTAAATCGACGCTCGTCGACGCTAAATCGGCGCTAATCGACGATAGCCGTCGCTGAATCGGCGTTATCTCACCCACTCCCAGGACGCTAATCGACGCTACAATCGACGCTAACGACGGAATTGCGAGGGTATACGAAACTCCAATGATTTGCTACCGAAAAGGCTCACACGGTCAGGTGGCCGACTCCAGCGACTCAGAACCCAAACACATGGATGCCTCACTCTCACGTCTGTCTCACGTTCGCCGCGCTTCCGCCGGTGGACACCCGCCACCGATTTGTTTGCTTCCGCCGATCCTCCGCTGGCGTCGGCCGAAGACGAGACGCGCCGAGGACGAGCACTTCCTGGAACGCCACCGTGGCGACGACAGCGCTGGCAGCCCATTCCGCTGGCATCCGCCGCAGGCGAAATGCCCCGAAGGCGAGGCCCTTTCTGGAGCGCGACTGCGGCGACGGTGGCGTTGGCGGTCACCCCGGAGCCCTCCGAGGTGGGCGGCTTCGCCATCACGGAGGAGCTCTTGGCAAAGCCCAGGGCCGGCATGGTGCCGAAGCCGCCTGCACAACTCCACCCCCTCCCTCGAAGGAGTCGAGATGTAAGGATGAGGACGAGGGAGCAGGTGGAAGAGGAGGAGGAGCCCATGCTGGGGATCAAACACCCAAGCCATAGCTACTCCCCACCACCGCCCCTCCACCAACCCTGGGCCAGACGTCGCCAATCGGGGGATCTCCATCACCTCGGTGAGACTCACCATGCTTCCCCGCACGTTGACAGAACGCTGCATGAACTTAGGCGCCAGCATGACCACCTAAGAAATGTGGGCGTCGCTGGGGGTCTCAAGTGATCGTCTGAGTGTTGCACCATCCACAAGTGTCTTTGAGGGCGGGCGCCCTCGTATGTGACAAATGGGTGGGCGTCCCTGGACCATCGTCACACACATTGTCGGTGGACTCAAATGTCCAAGCCAAGTGGCATCATGTTATCGATGCACCGTGACTCGCCAGACGGCAAAAATACAACCTTCGACCAGCACCGAGGCTTGCCTTTCTCCAAGGGCCACAGCCACCGTAAACACCGCCCGCTGTTGGACAGAGCCGCGCGCATTGCACACCCCAGGCGATCTCGGTTCGGATGAAGGTAGATTCGGATGAAGAGGAGGAGGACGACGAGGAGGAGGCGGAGGAGGAGGAGGATGACGAGGGGGAGGAGGAGTCGCTGCCACACTTGGCTGCCACACGATGTCTCTGAAGCTCGGCGCTGTTCGGCCACAGGGAGAAATCGGAGTGTGGCGCGAGGGCGCGAGGCGCGGCCACGGCAAGGCGGCAAGTTCGTGTCGTGGCGCCTTCGGCGTCGGTTTCGGACACCGTGTGGGTCGTCCAATATTGATCGATCGCGGCTTCCCGATGGCGCGGATCGCTCGATGCCGGCCTAACGGCGTTAACCCTGAAAGATATCGCTGGGGAAACCACGACAGCCACGCGGCGCGAACAAGCCGCACCCAGCGCGTGGGAGGCGAGCTCATATGACCCGCGCGAGGCGAGTCCACATATTACCAGGGGGAGAAAAAAGCGCGGAGAAGCAGGGCAACAAACATAAGCAATTGGCTCTCAAGTTGGCTTTACGGCCACGCGTGAACGAACATGCTCAACTAGAGTAAGAGCGGAACTGATAATAGAGTTGGCGAAACAGGGAAACAGCGAAAGAGAAAGAGAGAGAGAGAGAGACACAATGGATGAGCGAGATAGCCACATCGAGATACATAACAAGAGGAAAAAGAGAGATAGAGAATATTAAATGCAGTCATATACGCAAGAAAAAGATAAAGAGGTACCAGAGAGAGGTAACACAGATGTACACACATAATTCTACATCTAAAGATCATGCGGGAGAGAGACAGAGAGAGCGATAGAGGGAGGGACACAAACACATGTTTAACAAGACAGATGAACACTAGATGAAGGCACACAACAACAGTAACAGGTGGGAGAGGGCGAGAGATAGAGTACTGCTGCCAACGGATGTATCGACCAGTGCTGCGCGATCTCCACCTGCTACTCCTCGTCTGTCCATCTATGTTCGCGGTCCTCCTGCTCCTTCCTCATCATCCGTGTCTCCCTCTCTCTCCCTTTCCTCCCCCCCTCCCTCCCTCCCTTTCCTCCTCCCCTGTCGCGAATCGCTTCGCCCTCTTCGTCGTCGCCCTCCCCCTCCGCATCACGCAGCGGTGCGCTCGACGGAGCCCGGGCCCGGGCGGCGCGCGAGGCCAGAGCTCCCGCGCGCAGCCGCCCGTGGGCAATCACTCACCAGGAGGCGGAGGGACATCGGATGCGGAGACACACACGTAGAGACACAGAGACACACACACACAAACACACACACACACACACACACGCGCGCGCGCACGCACGCACACGCACGCACACACGCACACACGCACGCACGCACGCACGCCCGCCCCCACCACCCCACATACACACACAAACACACACACACACACAAACGCACGCACGCACGCGCGCGCGCACGCACGCACGCACAAACACACACACACACAGACACGCACGCACGCACGCACGCACGCACGCACGCACGCACGCGCGCACACACAAACATACACACACACACACACGGGGAGCACGTGGAGGAGGCGGAGGAGGAGGCGGAGGAGGCGGAGGAGGAGGCGGAGGAGGAGGAGGAGGAGGAGGAGGGGGGGAGGGAGGGAGGGAGAGAGGGAGGAGACGTAGGGAGAACCAGATGAGGAGGAGTGCGCGGGGAAAGGAGGAAGCGCAGCAGCAGGATTTCGCAGTAAGAGGAGGAGGGGCTGCGGTGTGGGAGAGGGAGGAGAAGGGGGATCGAGAGGTGAAGAGTCGGACGGAGAAGGCGGGGCAGCGGGGCGGGAGGAGGACCAGGAGGGGGAGGAGGACCAGGAGGGGGAGGAGGAGGAGAACCAGGAGGAGGAGGAGGAGGAGGAGGATGAGAAGGAGGAGAAGGAGAGGAGCAAGAGTCGCAGGGGGCGTCAGTCAGGAATGCCGCGGGCCCACGCGCAGCACCCGCGCGACGGGGGGGGGCGGGGAGGAGACCTCGGCGCAGCCCGCTCGGCTGGCGCGTCTGCCGCCGAGAAGCCGAGAGGCAGGCTGTGTCAGATGGGATCGGGTGTGAATTCGCAGCGTCGCGCTCGGGCGCGCGCTTCCCCTCGCCCCCCCCCCCCCCTTCCCCGCCCTCCGCCTCCCTTCCCCGCCCTTCGCCTGAATGGGGTGTAAAGAAGGGCACTGACGGGGCCCTTCAGAGCCCCTGCTGGCTCCAAAAAAGGCCCTGAGAGGGCCCCTTTCGGGCCCTTCTCTTCACCCACCAGTTTCGGTCACCCACCATTGCCACCCGCCCGACTATCGCACGGCGGTCGAGGCTCCGGCATCGGCAGGATTGGGTTTAGTTGGATCTGGTCTCATCATGTGCTTGGGGGCGCCTCCCCCGCCCCACTCCACGAACCGGACCAGCCGTCACCCGAAGAACACAAGCTACGGCAGCCCTGGCGCAGTGATTCAAGCATGCTTTTCTGGCTTCGGGGCCCTATCACTAACTGGCTCCCCTCCTCTGGGGCCCTGGCTATACCCGGGAGGCGGCAGACGGGCTAGGGAGGCGCGAATTACGCACAGAGGAGAGGCGGACGAATGAGGCGCGGGCGCGGTTAGGGCATCGAACCGGAGCAAACATCCGATCGGGCTGCGTCGGCGCGGAGCCAAAATCGAATCGTATTGGCTGCGCGAAGACGCACAGCAAAACCATGCGAGCACGCGGCCGCACCGAGTCGTCGGAAGACCGCAATCGGATCGGATCGAGCCGGCCGGAGCAGACATCGAATCGGATCGATCGGATCGAAGTGGACCCCTGTCGTGTCTGGAAGAAGAAAAACGCCATAGACATAAGATTTTGGCGCTCCGCGCGGATTTCTTGGATCTGCGCTGGACTTCCCTCCCTGGCGCGCTGAGCGCGCCAAGGGCGCCGCCGGAGGCGCCGCTGGGCGGGGCCGGTCGGCGCCATTGGCGACGTCGGCGGTGCATCGGCGACGCCAGCGTGGAGAAACTCGGGGCTCCACATCGAGCCGCATCGCCGATACATCGGCGATGTGGCGCGATCCTCCGATCCCATCGACTCCAGACCCCATCTTAGAGGCGGCTACACGCGAGAGTGACCGCCTGCGAGCGGTCACTCTGGCGAAAGGTCACTCTTACCTGCAGCCGGCAGAGGGGACCGCGGTGGGCCCGCACCGAGGGCCACCCCAGCGAAGGGCCATTCCTACCTGCAGCCGACCCCTCTTCAGGGCCCGCGCTCCTCCCCGGCAATTCACCAGTGGGGGGCGCCGCCGGGCTCCGGGGCCTTGCACGAACCATCCGCGACGAAAACTTCGGGGTGCACTGCGTAAGAGTATCGAGTATCCGCGGCCTCGCGGGCCGGGCCCCCTGGGCCGCGACCCCGCGGATACGGCGCGTTTTTCAGCGGATGCCCCCAAGCCCGTGCGAGCGCGTAATTATCCGCGGGACCGCGCCCTGGAATCCAGACTGCGAGGGAGCGGATACGGATATGCTCGCCACTCAGGAAACTGGTCCTGGAGACGGGTGACAAATCACGACGGCGAGGGTTAGGTCGGGCATGGGTTCCTACAGGCGGATTTGTGAGGAAGACATTGACAATGGTTCAAGAAAATTCACATATGGTCTAAAATGCTAGAAAAATCGTCCCCCAGGCACTGTTTGTCCTCTTCTTGAATATATATATATATATATATACTGTTTTTCGGAGGCGTACGTCCACGCCAGTGGTCAAGTTAGCCCGACACGTGACCTTTACTTTCAGGACCTCGCACACCGCCCCCCCAGCACACTGGCCGAAGGTTCCACTGCGCCCACAGCCCGCGGGGCCGCTCGGGACCCACAAACGCGGGCCCGAATCACGGAGGGACAGGCCAGCACCGACACACGGTGCACCTCCGACAGGACGGGCAGCCAAGGGACCTCCCGAGGTCCCGAGGCACCCATCCCGTGGGAGGCCGACCACAAGTCCCACACAGACACCCTCGGCCACGCGCTGGAACGTGCGGCACCAGAAAGGCACACCCTGAAGGTCACCAGCTAACTCCCTTGGGCTTAGGGCACCAACCTGGAGTAGCTGGGGGCATCTATACAGCACAGTCTCTGCGTTCAGGGGCCGGAACGCGGCCCTGGACTACAGGGAGGTAGCGGGTGGGAGCCTTGGAAAGAGGCTACGGAAGGAGACGGCGTTCAACGATGCCCCCAAACAGTATTGCCTTACACAAGCGTAAACGGTCATACTGTTTTTCGGAGGCGTACGTCCACGCCAGTGGTCAAGTTAGCCCGACACGTGACCTTTACTTTCAGGACCTCGCACACCGCCCCCCCAGCACACTGGCCGAAGGTTCCACTGCGCCCACAGCCCGCGGGGCCGCTCGGGACCCACAAACGCGGGCCCGAATCACGGAGGGACAGGCCAGCACCGACACACGGTGCACCTCCGACAGGACGGGCAGCCAAGGGACCTCCCGAGGTCCCGAGGCACCCATCCCGTGGGAGGCCGACCACAAGTCCCACACAGACACCCTCGGCCACGCGCTGGAACGTGCGGCACCAGAAAGGCACACCCTGAAGGTCACCAGCTAACTCCCCACGTCTCCAACCTTGGCGCCCACGCCGTCTAAGAGAAACTATTCCAAAAAACTCTGCACCCGTGAGGCTAACTTCCAGTCACCGCCTAAACTTAGGCTTGGAAAGTCAGCGAAGCTGAGAGATATGTACACACACTCAGCAATGGGCACAAAGAGGGACGGCTGGATAGGGCATAGAAGCTGCACATTCAACTCTCACAATCTGACAAATTCACGCAGCATCTGAAGGCAGCACAGAACATTCGAACATTGTTTATCCTGCGGCTTGACCTTCACAAGGTCGGCAACTGCACTTCAATATAAATTCTCGCGGTCAAAGTGCTGGCCCAGCGGCCAACCGAGGCTTCGGCCAAGCGCAGCAAGCTTGCCCTGAGCCGGCTTGGCGACCACGGCGAGAGCCTGTCTGAAGGCGCGAGATGGGCCACAACCAGTCGCAGCAGCTGCACACAGGCCTTAGACCGCACAGCCACGGGCTCGCTGCATCCTTGCCCGCCGTGGTCTTGCTGCTGCCAGTGCGGATGACCATACACGACGCACGATCATGAACGTCGCCTGCAGTGAGGCAGCAAGCTTCCCCTCCCCGCAGCATCGCTTCAAGGCTGACGAGAAGAAAAACAGGCGAAATCACAAGGCGCCTGCTGCGATGGCGTAGGTCGCCATGCCGCCGACCAGCTTTGCAGTCAGCGGGAGGACGCGCGCCGCAGACTCTTGGCGGCGCTATGTCTACAGGAGTGACCAGGACAGGTCGAGTTCCTGCGCAAAGACGGGCAGAGAAATAGGGCCACGCCCGCAACAATGTTGCTTGCAGCTGCAATGCCAGCGCCCTCAGCCCGAAGCCTCTCAAGGAAGCTAGCGACCAAGCTGTCCGCATCGCCCATGGCCAGCGCCAGCGCAGTCGCGCCACTCTCCTCAGCGCCGTAGTACTGCAAGAGCCTGCCGACCGCAACGGCATATCGCCTGCGGGTCGCCACCTTCACGCGGAGCGACGAGGGGGTGTGGGCTCGCGGGTCACGCCGCCTTACGGACGGCCTGCACGGGCGGCCTAGCGCACCAAGAACGCGCGAGTGCCGTGCCCCCTGAGCCGCGAGCCACGCCACAGCTTTCTCGATGGCTTGTCGGCTGGATCGCTCTCCGACACGATGTAGCCGATCAGCGGGTACGTGTCGGCCGCGACCGCGACTGCTGCCCAGCGTTGGAGCATCGGCTGCAAGCGAGCGCTGCTGCTCTGGCCCTTCGTGATGATGGCCGCGACGACCCGCTGTCCACAAGGTGGAGCCAGCGGCTGCAGTGGCGGCGAGCGGCGCGAGCCCGCCATCGGAGGGCCGCAAGCGCGGCCTGCAGCTCCCTGACGTTGATGTGCGCCCGCCGCCTCTGGGGCGAAGCTATACTCAGCACGACTCGTCACTCCACACGAACGGGTCGAGCAACGATCTGGGCCACCCCCCTTCGGTCGGTACGGCAGGTACACGTCGAGGCGCACACCGCGCCCGCCCTCCTCGGTCCAGGCGAGGTAGCTGAGGAGCAGGGGGCGGCTGGCCTCGGTCTCTGGCTCCCTCGCGTCGCTCTCGAAGCCGCCCGTCTCGTTCCACGACGGCGTGCATTCGCCGACGTGCCCCAGCTCCTGCATGGACAGCGGGCGCGCCACCGCCCCCCGGCTCAGCAGGAAACCACTGCACCAGCCAAGCGACCGAGAACACGTTGAAGCTGTTGTTCAGTAGGAAGGACCTGGCGTCGTCGCTATCCTGCTGGTTCGAGCCCTCCGTGGCCACAGCCGTGCAACGCACGTCGAATCCCATCATCCTCTCCTGCACGGAGCTTGAAGGGACCCGCGAAGACCCGTCGCTGTCCTGCAAGAGGGTCCTCTCTTCGTAGAGCGCAGCACGGTAGCGATACGAATCCAACTGCCAGCGAGCGAGCGCCTCGGGCAAAGCACTCTTCACCCTGCGCGGCGCTGAAGGGTAGCCTCCTTGGGGCCCGCTGCATACGGGGGTCGAGTACGGGCCAGGCTCGCCGATCCAGCGCATCCCAGGATCCCGCCAATCCAAATTCAACAGGGGCGGCTCACTGCAACTGACGACGAACATATCCTCACGCTCCTGGAAAACCAGCGGCAAAATGGGGCGGACGCCCCAGCTCAGCCAATACCGCTGCGGCCTCCTGCAGGGCACCAGAGCCGAGGCACACAGGAGCACGAGCTTGGCGCCGAAGGCCTGGCTCATGCCACACAGGCTGCTGGTCGCCGTGCCCGCGACGTTCTCCACGAACCACCTGAAGTGCGCCCCGAAAGCGTCTGACAGCAGCTCGAAGATGCGCGGCACCTCGAAAGAGTCCGAGGACCTGGGGTCGCCCAGGCCTTGCCCAGCAGCGTTCAGCCCCGTGAGCGCCTGGCACGGGCTGCCTGCGCCCACGACCACCAGGTCGACCTCGGACTGGTCGGCTATCCTCAAGTCCTCCACCGTCTGGGCGGTCACGGTCCTGACGTCGCCCCAGTCGATGGCGCCCGGCCACCTGAGCCGTACGACCCTCCCGGCCTTGGCGTCCGTCTCGGCGCTCACGTACCCGACGATGCGCACAGGGGGGCGAGAGAGCGCGACCGCCAGCCCGCAGACGCCGTCGAACAGCCCGATGCAGAGGTCCCTCAACGAGGTAGCGGCGAGCGGGATCACGAGGAGCGTCGCCATCAGCTCCTCCCTCATCTCCCGCGTCAGGTAGACCTTTGTCCGCGGCTCTGAAAGCCTCCACACTGCGCTCAAAATGCTGAGCAAGGGCCGTCGCAACTCGAAGGCCCTGACAAGGCGGCCGAGCACAGCCACGCCCAGCCTCCACGGGACCAAGTCCAGGCCGAGCGTCGCGATGGCGAGACCGTAGGCGGACGACGCCTTGCTGAGGGGGGCCGCGATCCGCCCCGTGACTCCGTCAACAGAAGCCCCCATCCTTTCAACGTGCAGCTGGCAGAGGCGCGCCTGCTCGAGGGAGATCGCCACCTGCGCACGGCCGCAACTGGCACGGGCCGCAGCCTGCAACTCTGCCTGGCTACCAAGCAGCTCCAGCGCCGCGGCCTCCTCAATGGTCTCGGGGGCGTCGAAGTCGTCGATGTATACCTGACACCAAGATGCAAGGACGGGGCACTGCTCAGCTAAAGCGAGCGGCCGCACCGTGTCCTTCCGCCACTCTGCCCCTGGTGGTAGACCCGCTCCAAGCGGCGGCGGGGGCCGACACAGCCGCCAAAGCATGTGCTGGAACAGCGGCACGGCGAGCGTCCAACCCATCGAGATGACAGCTGAGACCACGAGGACCCGCGGCGCCGCGCGACCAGACAGGTCGCCGCGCAGCGCCTTGCCCACCGCCACGTGAGCATGCCAGCAGCGCGGGATCCGCCACACAAAGAAGGCCCCCTTCTGGTCATCGCCAATCCACCGCAGCAGGGAGCCCTCGGGCAGATGAAGGGTCGCCCCCCCCGTCGACGCCGCAAGAGTAGACGCCCCTCCGACAAACGGCGTGAGGAGCGAGTAGCCTGGGACCACGTTGAGGCTGAGCCTGGTGACCCGCTCAGCCCTCGGCCCAGGCGCTCCCTTCTTCTCGACTGCGAAGAGGCCGTTGAGGAGCGGAGCGCCCCGCACCTGGAACACCTCATGCGGCTCGAGCTCCGTAAGAATGCCCAACTTCACCAAGTGCACTGCGAGGGCCTCCCAGCCGTTGCCAATGATGACGTTGACCCGCGCCCTCGGGAGCGGGTTGGACCACTCAGCCTTGGGATGCAGCGCCACCGTGGGGTCGTTCAGCCAGGCGCCGATGTCCGCATCCACGAACTCACATGCGTCCAAGGCGCCCCCGTGCTCCGGGTGCGGCAGGCCTGGCTTCAGCTCCGCGAGCACGCACAAGAGTGCCTTGACCGTGGGCTCCTCGCTGTAGTCGATGACCGCGTGCTGAGGCGCGGACGACAGCGCGGGCATCTTCACGCTCGCGAAGGGGTCCTCCGCAAAGACCTCGGCCCGCGACAGGAGGTGCGCCATGGCCTGCCGCTGCGCCAGCGTGAGGGACCCCCCGTGCTGCCAAGTGGCGGTCGCCCGCCCACAGTACATCCGATTCAGGCCGAGCACCTCCATGCAAAGCCAGCGCTCCACCATGACAGACCTGGCCACTCGTGCGAAATGGCACCTGCCGCTGCGAGGGCCGCATCGGCTGCGAAACCAGCGCCTCGCCAGGGAGGGGGAGGGCAGGGGCAGCGGGAGAACGTCACGTCCCCGCACTCCGCTCCCCCGCCTTGTGGACGTACGCTTCGTGAACTCCCTAGCGAAGGCGCCCAGACCCACAGGGTCCGTGATGGTAAGGCCCAGCAGCGTGACGGACAAGTCCACGGCAGTGAGGCTCGACCCGCAGCCGACCGTGAGCACGCGCAGCCAGTCCTGGAAGTCCGATGTGGTGAGCGAATCCTGGCATGGAAGGGGGCCTGGAGGGGCCTCGGCGGCGCTGAGCAGGCCATCGGCCGCAGCGCTGCCCCCAGAGGCGCCCGCGCAGGCCAGGCCCCCCCCAAGAGCGCTCGCGGCGGGCGGCGTCGCGGCCTCTACCGCAGCGTCGGGACGAGGCTCCTGAGACGGGCATCGTACGCCTTGGCCGTCTCGCCAGGCTTCTTCGGGCACTTCGCCTTGGCGTCCTTCCAAGGCCGCGTCAGCACGACCAAGCGGGCTGGGGCTGCCGCCCTGTCGGCCAGCATGCGGTCGGCCTCTGCGGAGCCTGCGGCCGCTGGCTGCCTCCGCGCCTCGGCCAGCGCTGCAGCAGGGGGCATCCCCCCTGCATGGCCAGCAGGGCGAGGGGGCAACGCCGAACCCACCTCGCCCCGGCCGACCTGCTAGCCCTGAGGCTTCTGACGCAGCCTCGAGGCAAGCTCCTCCAGCTTGAGCTCGCCGTGCTGGATGCTCCTGATCATCTCCTCCTCCTCGTTGCGCAGCGCGAGAGGCTGGTCCCGCGGCGGTATCAGCTCGAGCCACTTCGCCGCCGACCAGCTCCCGTCCCCCACAGCCACCTGGATGGCCTTGAAGCGCTGGGCGAGGATGTCGGCGACCGCGGCCGTGCGCCCCTGCAGCAACAGTTCCAGCGCCTCCGCGATCGTCCGCAGCTCGCGGTAGATCTCGCCCCCTATCTCCTTGACAGGGTGCTGCGGCAGGTAGACTGAGAGGAGGAACCGAAGGACGATGGGACCGTGCGGATCGACCGACCCGCCGCCGTCCTGAGATCCCAGAAACTCTGCCATCTGTGCCAGACTCAGCTCCGCAAGCCTGCCTGGATGCTCGAGGGCCAATCTCCTGCAGTGGGCCCGTCGAGACGCGAGGCCCTTCGGTAGCAAGTCGCCCTCGGCAGTGGCGACACCACCGTCGCCGCCGAAGGACGGGTCGTCGGACGACCTGGACGCGCTCTGCAGCGCCTTGAGGAGGGCCGTCAGCAGCTCCTGCACGCCAGCTCCGCCCTGTCCAGCCGCGGGGGCGGCCGCCTCTGCGCCCTTGGCGTCCTCGGCCGAGGCGACTGCCCCGACCTTCGCCGCCTTCTGCACGCGCTCCTCCAAGACCTCGGCGAGCGACCGCTGCGGCGGCGGTCCGCCCTGCCGCGGAACCTTCGCGGGCGGGTCGCCGTCCAGGGCAGCGACCACCTCCGCAGCTCCCGCCGCGGCCCGCCGCTGCTGCTGAAGCCGCGCGAAGCGGTCCTGCGCTGCCTCCAGCTTCCCGCGGAGGCTGGCGCGGCGGCCGCTCCCCTCCGCCTCGACAACGTCGCCGCTCCAAAGCTCGTCCAGCCCTGGCTGCTCCGACGCGGCCGGACTCCTGGCTGGCGCCCGCGCCGGCACCCCGCCAGCGAGCCGCGGTCCGAAGAGGTCGGCAGGCCAGACCGCGTCTGGGTTGTCCGAGAGGAACGAAGCAAAGACCTCCCGCAGCTCGGCGACCGAGACGGGGGTCGCATCTGTGATGTGCACCAGCTCTGAGCAGTCCCGAGGGGGCTGGATCGGGCACGGCTGCGTCCGACACGCATGGACAAGGGGCCGCGCAGTCACAGCACCCCTCTCGCCTGGGTTCGCAGCCCACCAGTCCCAGTACGGGTCGCTCGAGAAGAGGAACCTCGGCCTCGCGAACGTCTCGACTCCGACGGAGACGCGAAGGGCGACCCACGCGAAGCGGCCCTGGACGTCGCCCTGGGCGTTGTGGCCAGTCGACGTGTACGCCTGGCCTGCGACGAGCCTCAGATCCTCGGCGGGGCCAGGAGGCAGTCCTCCGCCGTCCTCGCCCAGCTCGTCGCCCGATGGGGTGTACAGCTGCGCGCTCCCGTCCGACTCCTCGTACTGATCTCCGGCCATCAGAGGGCACTCGCGCTCGCAGCGCCGTCTCTCTCCCGGGAGTCCCTTCCCCCGACCTGGGGCGGACCAGGTCGGAGCCGGAGGAAGCAGACGAGGACCTCGGGCGAGCACCAAAGCAGTGAGGTGTCGGCTCGCCCGAGGCCCCTCAAACCCTGCAAGCCTTGGAAAGAGGCTACGGAAGGAGACGGCGTTCAACGATGCCCCCAAACAGTATTGCCTTACACAAGCGTAAACGGTCATATATATATATATATATATATATATCCTGTCGAGGGACGCGCCCGACTTGAAGTGATGGGCCTGCTTTCCACCATCACCACAATCTATAAGTTGGAGGCGGGGAGGAGGTGGAGGATAGGGAGGAGGACGAAGAGGACGAGGAGGAGGAGGAGGAGGACCCCCTCCCCCTCCTACTTCTGGTGGTGGTGGTGGTGGAAAACAAGCTCACGATGAGGCGAGGCTTCGGGGACGGGCTGACTAAGGTCGGCGCCAACCTGGGCCCGGCACGGCCGTGCCGCGAACCACGCGTGGCTACCACGGAGCAGCTCGCAGGCAACGTCCATGGAAGGGGCATGGCCTTGGAGGTCGGAAGAGGGGTGTGGCATGAAGGGGTCTGGTGCCCATTGTGGAAAAATGGCGCTGGTACCTGCTATAAGTAACATCGCCAGATTCCCCTTCACATAGAATCAGCAGCACACCCCTTTATACCATACCCCTTTCCTACCTCCAGAGTGGTGGGGGTGTCGGCTCCACGGGGCTCCCGAAGCCGGGTCGACCAGAGGGGATCCGAGAAGAATGGCCTGACCCTGAGATTCGGTCGCGATAAATCTCAACCAAAGCCCTCGACCAGCGTCACTTTCGGGCTGGATCGATCCGCGATGGTCCTGGGGCCCGAATAGAAGAAACAACGCAGTTCATGACCAACAAGAATGCGAAGCCCAGATCTGATGGGGCCCCAGGCTAAGGCTGACCCCCGTTACCTGCGCCCCGGAAGACATTACTGACTCCCGTGAAGCCCATACATCCGATGCCTTGCCTTTTTTCAATCCGCAGGCCCAGAACTCTTGATTCCTTCACAGGCGCCGGTTTGCATCCCGACCACTTTTTGGGATGGTTGCAGAGCCCTTTCAACGGCCCCGGGAGGCAGAAACTCTGGAAGAGCAGTCGTTCCAAATGGTGAGTCAAGACTTCGAACTTCTGGGAAAACGGTGGTGGCGTGAAATAAGAAACCGCTGGATAAGGAACCCAGGGCCTGGAAGCCCGTGGAACTCCAGCCGCGCAGTTGCCATGGATATCACCGCCGCTCCCATCAGATAAGGAAACCTCCAAAATCTGAAACATCCTGAGAACATTCCTTGATCGGACGCCCGAGGTGGGCACGGAAACAATGGGCACGACGCCCAACAACAGAAGTTGTCCAAAACCGACAGCGGCCGCTGCTGGGCAGGTGGCCTTCTGTCTCAAACGGACAACGTCCGCGGCGACACCGACAGCAAGTTCTGCTCAAAATGAACCAGGAATACTGCCTGTCTTCGTACCCGTCCTTTCCGTACCAATGTCGATCGTACCGACTTGAGGAACTAGAGGCCTCCTAGATGGGGTCCGAGTAGATGGGGTCGGAAGATCGCCGCGCATCGCGATTGCATCGGCGATGCATCGGCGACGTCGGGGACGCATCGGCGACGTCGGCATTGAGAAACTCGGGCTCCACATCGAGCCGCGTCGCCGATGTATCGGCGATGCGGCGCGATCCTCCGACCCCATCTACTCCGACCCCATCTGGGAGGCCTAAAGGAACGCCCCCGCTGTGGGCCCCTCCCTCCCAGTCCGTTGAGGGCGGGCGCGGTGGAGGCGTTGCCAGGCATCGACTCGGCAATCGCCTGGCGAGGAGGGCCCGGCGCAGCCGGCATCCCTCCGCGCGCGCTCGCACGGGCCGCGCGTGGGGCCTAGCAGGGCAGTCGCTCTGCACGGGGAAGTTGCTCAGCCGACCCGCCGATTTTGTTTTGCCCCTCACTCACTCTCTCTTTTTTTTTTCTCTCTCTCTCTCTCTCTCTGTCTCTCTCTCTCTCTCTTTCTCTCCCTCTCTCTCTCTCTTCCCAGATCGTCAGAGTCCATTGGCTTTTGTTTGGTTTTCGCATTGCCGCCTTCTCGGCCGTCACGGCGTCCAAGACGGCCCAAAATCGGCCCCAAACGGCCCAAGAGCCCCCAGCAGGGGCGAAAGACGCCCCCACCAAAGAGGCCAAAATCAGGCCCCGAGAGGCCCCCCAAGATGCCCCCCAAGAAGCCCCCCAAACCGCCACAAGGGGACATCCGAGAGGCCTTCCAAGAGATCCTCACATGCATCCAGGAGACCACTGACCTACATACAATCCACGGCGCGGTGAGGAGATGGGCCGAAGGCCACCAGATCCGTCGCCCCCTGTTGATTCATCACAGGGGCGCCTGCCGTGCTGGATGTCTGGGTGGTTTTTGGTTCTTTTCTAAAGAACTCCCCTGGGGCTTCGGCCCATCCTGCCGGCCACCTGGAGAGCTGCGCAAACTGCGCCCTCCGTTGACACAAGCGCCTCCAGAACGGCCAAGATGGCTCATGATGATCTCCAGGGTGTCTCCAAGACGGACAAGATGGCTCCAAGAGAGCCCACAAGAGCTCCGAGATGTCTCCAAGACGACCCAAGATGCACCCAAGACGGCGTGAGATGGCCCCAAGAAGAACCAAGACAGCTCAGGAGGCCTCCAAGAGGCCTCCAAGAGGACATATAGGAAGGCCCGACGAGGCCCAAACCAATGATATCCCTTAGGTGTGTGAAAGATTGTGTTTGTTCCTCCTTTTCGGCGTCCGACGGCCCAATGCAGTCCAACAGACCTCCAAGATAGCCCCAAGATCGCCCAAGAGGATCCCAATATGGCCCCATGACGGCCTAAGAAGCCTCCAAGACGGCCCCAGGACGGCCCCAAGATGCCTCCAAGACGGCTTAAGAGGCCTACAAGAAGACATATAGGAAGGCCCGAAGAGGCCAGAATCAGTGAGTTCCCCAAGGTTTTTGAAGGATTTTGGTATGTCCTCCTTCTCGGCGTCCAACGGCTCAATGCGGCCCGAGATGCCCCAACGATCGCCCCAAGAGCACCCAAGAGGTCTCCAAGATGGCCCCATGACGGCCAAAGAGGCCTTCAAGAAGGCCCCAAGAGGGCCCCAAGACGGCCCAAGAGGTCCCCAAGACGCCCAAGATGGCCTGCAAGACGGCCAAGATGGCCCCAAGAGAGCCCAAGATGGCCCGAAAATGTGTTCAAGACGGCCCAAGATGCATCCAAGACGGTCCAACATGGCCACAAAATGACACAAGAAGGCTCAGGGGGCCTCCCAGAGGCTTTCAAGGCGGATCAGCGGGCCTCCAAGAGTACAAGCAAGAAGACCCGAAGAGGCCAAGGTCAGTTTTTGCCTTAGGTGTTTGAAAGATGTTGGTATTTCCTTGTTTTCGGCTGCCCGACGGCCCAAGACGGCCGGGCAGATTTCCAAGGTAGCCCCAAGATTGCCCAAGAGGCTGCTAAGATGGCCCAAGAGGCCCCCAAGACGGCCCCAAGGGGGCCCAAAGACGGCCCAAGAGGCCCCCAAGACGCCCAAGATGGCCTCCAACACGACGAAATGGCCCGAAGACGACCAAGAAGACCCAAGATTGCCCCAAGTCGGTTCCATGACTCCTCCGAGATGGCCAAGATGGCCCCCAGACGGCCCAATATGTTCCCCAGACAAACCCAGGAGCCCCCGAAGACGCCCCACGTTGGCTCCAAGAGGACTCCCACGAGTCCAAGCTCATTGATTTTCCTTCGGCGGTCCAATGATTTTAGCGTTCTCGCCGTTTCGGGCTTCCAACGCTGCAAGACGGGCTCATGAGCCCCCAAGGTCACCCCACGGTAGCCCAGAAGGCCCCCAAGAGGCCAGCAAGACGGCCAAAGAGGGCCCCAAGACAGCCCGAGGCCCCCGGGGCCCCAAGACAGCCCGAGAGGACCTCAAGACGCCCCCAAGAAGAAACCAGAGACCTCCAGGATGGCCCACAAGCGCCCAAAGAGGGACCCACGACTGCCCAGGCAAGGCCCAAGACGGCCGCCGGAGGCCAGGAGGCCCCCAAGAGGCCCCCACGACGTCCCCAAGAAGCCCCAGGATCGGGCTGGGCGAAAGAGGGGGATTGGGAAAGGGGGGGTTACGAAATTTGCTGCATGCAGCTGGTTTCGGCCCCGCCGAGGGGCCCATTCCTCGATACATAGCCGCCTCCGGCGCCGGGAGGCGCCAGGAAAATCAGCTACGCGAGCTGATTCTCAAACCCCCCCTTTGCTATCCCCCCCTTTCGCCCGACCCGACAGGAGACTCCCAAGATGCCCTTGAGAGCCTCCACGGATGCTCCCAGGAAGTCCCGAAGAGCCCCAAGAGGGCCTCACGAGGCCTCCTCTTCTTCCTCCTCCGCCCTCTCCTCTCTCTCCTCCTCCTTTCTCGTCATCTCCCCAGTATTCCTCCGAGGGGGTCCCCCAAAGCTGGGGGAACACATAGTTTAAAAGCTTGGCCTGATTTCGGCACAACGTGTAGCCGCATGGGCGTTTCCAAAAGGCAGTGGGCGGCGGTGATTCGCCGTAGGCGCCTTCAATACATATACACACTTATGCATGAGCAAGTATACGTATACGTATAGATATACACATATAGTGAAGTACATATACGTGCGCCTATATATTCTTAGATCCATGCACACGTATATGTGTGCGCACACATAAGAAAGCAGACGTGTATATGTGTATGCGTGTATCTATTTATATACGCACACAATCTGAATACTACTCTCATCTCTCCCCGGATGACGCCCAGAAGATGGTCAATCCCCCTCCGCGTATTGTTTGTTTCACAGGATTCCCGGGAGGTGGGTTGTCGCTTGGGTTTGGTGTTCAGAATGTTGCTTCCGCTGGAGCGCTGGTCTCATGTTCGGGCTTCCGCTCGTTCCGAATCGTGCTCTCGCTGCAGCGATGGCCTCATTTCCGCGCTTCCGCTCGTTGCGAATCGTGGTCCCGCTGCAGCGATGGCGTCATTATTTCCAGTGCCATGCCACGGCATGCAATGCAATGTTATGTGGTGTTCCGCTGTGTGATGCCATGCCTTCAGCTGCAATCCTAGGATATGCAGTGCTTGACTACGTAGTACCACGCCATGCTCTGTGCCGTTGTGCGATGCCATTATTTGCGTTGCAATGCTTTGCGATGCAATTCTTCACTACGCAACGCCAAGCCATGCTATGACATACTACGCTCTACCGTGCCCTTCTACGCCCTGCTATGCCGTGCTCTACGATGCATCGCGCACCCTGTCGGGATCATTGCCCTGCTCGACATCCGACTGTGCGAATAGAGAGGAGATCTACGCCATGGTAAGGGATGGGAAGGAGGGGTAGGACGTCACATATGACGCGAGCGCACCTCGCTTGAGATATCACCATCCTACCTCTCCCCTCCGCCACCACATATCGCACCTCCATCCCTTCCTGTTCGAATCGTCGCTGCCGCGCGGCCTATATCTCGAAATCCTCCCTTCCTGGCGCGTCCTCCGCTGACCCTGCGCTCCACCCGTGCCACGCCCTCGGAAACCTGTGAAGCGTGCACCCTTCGACGCTGAGTCTCTGTCGCTGCTCCGTGGAGTGGAAGCGAAAGGTCACGGAAGGGGCAGGGAGGGAGTGAGCGCAGTGAAACAATCGGCTGAAGGAAAGGGGACGGGAACATATGGAGAGGGGCAGGAGAGAGAAATGGAGTGGAGGGAGTCGGAAATGGGTCCCAACTGGGAGAGACAGCGGGGATGGCCCGGGAAGGTGGAATCAGAGCGGAGGGGTGTGGGGGGGGGCGAGACTGCGTCCCCTTTCCTCCTCCTCATCACTCTTCTTCTCCTTCTCCTCCTCCTCCTCCTCGACGTCGCCTTCTCCACTTTCTCCTCCTCCTCCTCCTCCTCCTCCTCCTCCTCCTCAGCGGGGCGCGAGTCCGAACCTACTCGCCACCCCCTGACCACTTAGGCGACCGCGGCGATAAGACAGAAGCGCAGCGAGACGACGAGTGTGGTCTCCTCCGCCCCTTGCTCCTCCTCCTGCGTGAATGCTCCAGTCCTCTGGCTTCTGGGGAGGGCAGCCTGGGGGGGGGCAGGCAGGGGCCCAGAAGCTTTCGGGAGCCTCCAGCAACAGAGGAAGCAACACTCCTCTGAAATGAAGCAACACCAAGAAATGAGACGACCTAGCAATAGGAGGTCGACCCTGCAGTTTTGGAAATACTTCAAGCCCCCAGGCCACTCCGAGCCACCACGCCGACCCGCTTTCGAGCCGCGTCCGGCCGTGGCGTTAAGGGGCATCCCGAATGTCGAGAAGAGAACGGGTAGGATGGTGATGCCCTTCTCCCTCTCCCTTCTCGAAGGAGAAGGGGGAGGAAGGAAAAAGGAGGAATATTAGAGGAAACGAAGGGAAGGGAGAGGAGGGAAAGGAGGAGGGGAAGCAAGAGACTCTGGAGACTCTGCCTGATCGCGTAGCGATATGATTAAAATCCGCTTGCACCTACGGGGGGTGTTTGTGCCCACTCCTCTGGTTCTTCTCAGCTCGGCTGAGAACCTTAGGCCAGAGACCTGATTCAATACGGCGTAAATACTCACGACCCGTGGCTGTAGGGGGCTCGCATTTAGAGGCAAGCTTCCCCGTCTGATGGGAGACGAACATACCGCATTGGGAGCAAATCCAAATCCCCAGCCCAGCGTGGAACCTCGGACCATGGGTTCAATGAATCCCCCCCTGCTACATGTACCTGCTTGCCCAGAGGGGGTCTCATATAAGTGTCATCTACATTAAGGAGGTTAAAACACTCTGACTTTTAT